CTGGACAGTTTTTTTTTTGGTGAAACGTTTCACCTTCCATCCGTAAGGCTTCATCAGTCAAGGAAATGCACAACACAAAACTGATTCTTCCACCACACAGCTTACTCCAACGTGGAACAAACCAGTCAAGTTGGTGCTAAGATGGTATCTTTGGCATGCCCCCTCTACCGGTGCCGGCCCACTTCCTCCTCAACAGTCATGTCAAACTGGTTCAAAACCAACAAAGTCCATGCTCAATAATGCAGGTATACAATCCAACAATTTTCAGTCAGGTCATCTGGACAGTTTTTTTTTTCTGAAACGTTTCACCGTCCATCCGAAAGGCTTCATCAGTCAAGGAAACACAACACAATACTGATTCTTCCCCCAAACAGCTTACTCCAAAGTGGAACAAACCAGTTATGGTTGTGCTAAGTTAGAGTCTTTGGCACACCCCCTCCTCTGTTGCGGCCCTTTTCCTCGTCGACAGTCATGTCAAACTGGTTCAAAACCAAAAAAAGTCCATGCTCAATAATCCAGGTATACAATCCAACAATTTTCAGTAAGGTCAACTGTACAGGTTGTTCTTTTGAAAAAACGTTTAACTTTACATCTGGAAGGTTTCATTCGTCAAGGAAACACACAACACAAAACTGATTCTTCCCTCAAACAGCTTACTCCAAAGTGGAACAACTTGCTCACGGCTCAAATTAAATAAGCAAAAAATCAACTCTAAAAATATAAACCATAAAAATCTGATTAAAATAAACACAGTTACTTTACCAGAGCAAAATCATAAAATCATTAAATGTGGATTATTGAACATCAGATCTCTTTCAACTAAATCCCTGTTAGTTAATGAACTGATAACTGATCATCATATTGATTTATTCTGTCTGACAGAAACTTGGCTACAACAGGAGGATTTTGTTAGTATAAATGAATCCATCCATCCAGCCATTATCTTTACCCGCTTATTCCATTTTGGGTCACGGGGGTCACCGGTGCCCATGTCCAGCAATCACTGTACGAGGGGCAGGGTACACCCTGGACGGGTCGCAAGTCCATCACAGGGCCACATAGAGACAAACAACCATTCACTCTCTCACTCACACCTAGGGACAATTTTGAGTTACCAATCAGCCTAACATGCATGTTTTTGGTCTGTGGGAGGAAACTGGAGTACCCGGAGAAAACCCACGCTTGCACGGACAGAACATGCAAACTCCACCCAGAAAGGCCCCTGGACCGGGGATTGAACCAAGGACCTGCTTGCTGAGAGGCATAAATGAATCCACTCCTGTTAATTATTTAAATTTTCATGTTCCTAGAAAAACTGGCCGAGGTGGAGGAGTAGCTTCTATTTTTCAGTCAGGATTATTGATTAATGCCAAACCAGTTATTAGTTATGATTCTTTTGAATCACTGTCCCTCAGTCTTTCTCATCCAAAATGGAAATCAGAAAAGCCACTTTTACTAAATGTTATATATCGTCCACCAGGCGCTTACTCTCAGTTTTTGTCTGAATTCTCAGAATTATTAACTGACTTATTATTAAATACTGATAAAATCATCATAATGGGTGTTTCAATATTCATGTAGATGTTGAGAGTGATAGTTTAAGCATAGCCTTTAATAATTTAATAGACTCATTTGGTTTTACCCAAAACGTCCGTACATCTACTCATTCTTATCATCACACTCTTGATTTAGTTCTGACCTATGGTGTAGAGATTAAGGACTTGGTAATAGTTCATCAAAATCCTGTTCTGTCCGACCATTTTTTAATAACCTTTGAGTTTACATTAAATGACTATACAGTCAATGAGATCACCTGATGCATGCTCAATAATCCAGGTAGAAAAATATAAAAAAAGTTAAATCTGGTCCTCTGGACATTCAAAAAAAACAAAACAAAGCAAAACAACAAAAAAAAATGTAGAAACGTTTCTTCTCTCATCCAAGAGACTTCCTCAGTCTGAGGTGCCGTATTCAGCTCAGTCTCTTAAATAGCACCTTCTCAGAGTGGATCAACCAGTTTTGCTGCTGACAACCAAAACCAGCTGATCACATGCTCAAGAAAGACCATCAGCATAACGATGGATCATTAGCACCTGATGGCTGTTTACTGTTCACAGAGGGCTGAGTGATACTAGCAATCACAGCATTGTAAGAGGGGGACAGTTGATTACGGAGGCTCCACCCCTGTTTAACGATGGACGATTTCTTTTCACAAAGATGGCCTCCTTTACTCCTCTCTCAAACCATCGTTCCTCTCTATCCAGGATGTGAACATCTTCATCCCTGAAAGAGTGACCGCTGGCCTGGAGATGAGTGTAGACCGCAGAGTCCTGGCCTGATGATGTTGATCTTCTGTGCTGGTCCATCCTTTTGGCCCGTGGCTGTTTTGTTTCCCCGATGTAAGACTGATCACAGCCCTCCTGACACTGAACAACATACACAATATTACTCTGTTTGTGCCGGGGGACTGGATCTTTTACAGATAACAATTAATAGTTATTAATTGTTCCTAGAAATAAACAACTTTAGTCTCTTTAGAATGATTTGTTCAATTAGCTTTGTAGAGATCTAGTAGAGTCCTGTATAAATGGGTAAATGAGGACACAGATTGTAGTGTAAAGCGCTTTGAGTATCTTGAAATAAGATAGAAAGGCGCTGTATAAGTACAGTCCATTTACCATAGTCCATTTACTTAGATGGCATTAATCTGTCCTCCAGC